ACCAGCACGGTTATATTTTTTATATATCCAAGTGGTCTGCTTCGTCTCTCTGAGTTCCTGGTTAGAAGAACTGGGTGATATCTTTCAGGTGTTTTTATTTTTTTGTCTGTTGGCCATTTTGATCAGCCACAGGGAAGATGTAACTTGTCTTTTGTTTTTGACATGGTCACTCTATTCTCTCCTGCATTGTTTATAATTTCACCTACATTTTATGAATCCTGAAAGCTTCAATAGGACTATTTTATCATTTGTAAATGACTGCTGCCATGACTATATAACAGACCTCAACTTAACAGACATTTAAGAGTTTACACTATAATAATAACAATCCAGGTCTATTTGCGATGAGATGTCTGATGGCGCTGCATTAAAAATATAGCCACCAACGGCTTTTCATTCATGGCATCCTATAATATTTTGCATCGTGTCCAGCACTGTGCAGTATAACCTCTGTGGAGAGAGGAGTGTCAGTATACAAAGGTTCTATCAGGAGGTTTGGACAGGATTTAGACAGCCTATCCAGCACTGCACTGAGGCATGTTGGCAGTGTGGAGTTCTCTACTTGAACTAGTGCCACTGTGCATTTGTTCATGCTGCTCTGTGGTTCACTCCCAGCGCAGTGTGTCAGCAAACAGAGCCTGCTGACAGCTGGTGTAGATGTGACAACGTGTTGTGATCAGGACTGGGCAATGAAATCAATATCACTATGTTAATAAGAGTATTTCTCTGGTAACTGAAAAACACAGTACGCCAAGTCACACATTTAAAAACTTATGTTTTATGAGCTGTTTTTCACATCAAATAAAACCTCTCGCACAAACTCTAATCATAATTTACTTATGCCACTCAAAGTTGATATTGATTTATCACCTTGCCTGATGTGTTATAAACAGGATTAGAAATAGATCAGGTCAGTTTAACAGGGGAAAAACAGCCTTTGCTTTGCTGACTGTGCAGAATGGCTCGAGAAATCCGAAGTTCATATATCTGATGTAGAAAATGTTTTACATACATATGCTTTTATTTGACATGAATGATGAGTACACTTAGCCAATTCACACAAGACTAACTACTTTCTGGTTTACACAGTGAAGGATAGTGTGGTAAAAAATATCATATTCGTAACATCTTGCTTGCCAACAGGCCATGAATTACTAAAAAAAAATAACTGTTTAACAAAAAAGTTTTCTTGTCTTGATCAAATTTAATTTTTTGTTAAATGCATTTTAAACCACACTTTTGAGCACAACCTTTATATCATTGCTAATTTGCTCACAACAATTGAAGTTCCACAAACATGATTCCTAAAATAAAATAAATAAATGGAAACTTACTAATTCTCCCAAAAAAAGTCATTTTATCTAATTAGAAGGGTGTTAATGCCACAAGTGCAGCTCGTTGGCACCAGAGCTGAAATCTGCCTTCCTTCTTTGCTGTGAATAAATCTAGTAGATAAAACTGAAGAGGCAATTGGGAGGTATAACGACCAAATCCATCATTCTCCTCTCAGGTTGTAAAAAGACTCTTCTATCCTCAATGATTTGACATAAATGATAAAGTTTTAATTTAGGCTCACAATACTCATATCAAGTCAGCCTTCTTCCAGTCCACACAACGTTTTCCACTAATGATGAAGGAATAACTCGGCTTTCAAAAGTTGTCCAGTTGCTTAATGACTCAACTGGCACAGCGTTGCTATTTCTACAAGAGCAGGTGAACACCACTGAGAAACAGCATTTACTGTACTTTAAATATGTACACAAAAATCTAGAATCTGAATGATTCACACTTTTCTTTCAGCATAATGTTTCCTTTAAAAGTAACAGGTGGAGACCAAGTCTCCAGAAGTGACAACAGCCACAGTGTGTCACCATTTATCTTGCACCAAGTGAAAAGATTAGAGTCCATATTTGTTTTAAAGACAGTCCTCCCACCTGACTGAACTGTATGCAAGAAAATAACACCTGTTCTTCTAGGTGTCTCATCACAATAACCAACATCTGAGCCAATCATCTCTTTGTGAAACAGGCACCATTTCAAAATAAAATGCACCTTTACTTTGGAAATGACAAGAGTGGTATTTCACTGGAGTTCAGCCCATATGGCCTTGAGGTGTTGCTGAAGCTCTTTTTTATTTAGAAGCAACCTTTAATCCAAATGTAAAAGGAGGTAAGGTGCGTTATGTGTACCTGTTCTTCTGACAGCTGGGAGATGTGGTTCACAGCCGCATACGATTCAATCTTGGGGTTAAAATGGTTGATGATGGCCCTTAAAGACAAAAACACAAAGCACTTCTGAAATGACACACAAAGGACATTTTCCTCACAGTCCAAGAACAGGCACTACTCTGCCAACACTATGTGCACATTGGAACATCACAGACATATGTGAGTGTTCATCCTCACACACGAGTGTTCTGAGATGACCGCTGTTGTGATCTGGTGCTATACAAATAAAATTCTGGAAAAAAATGAAATGAAATGAACACATTTCAATGCGTGTGTGGCTTTCTGGAGTGTGTAGAGTGATTTCTTGTATAGGTGTAAACAACCAATATAAAATTCAAGATGTGACTATATATACAGTGAGGAACAGAAGTATTTGAACACCCTGCGATTTTGCAAGTTCTCCCACTTAGAAATCATGGAGGGGTCTCAAATTCACATTGTAGGTGCATTCATACTCTGAGAGACAGAATAAAAATAAAAAAAAATTCAGGAAATCACATTGTATGATTTTTAAAGAATTTATTTGTCTTGCACTGCTGAACATAAGTATTTGAACACCTGAGAAACAGCAAGAATTCTGGCTCTCAAAGACCGGTTACTGTGACTTGAAAAAGTCCACCTCTACTCCACTCATTAATCTAAAGTAGTAGCACCTGTCTGAGCTCTTTAAAGACACCTGTCCACCCCACAGTCAGTCAGACGCCAACTACGATCATGAGCAAGACCAAAGAGCTGTCAAAAGACACCAGAGACAAAACTGTGGACCTCCACACTGCTGGAAAGGGCTACGGGGCAATTGCCAAGCAGCTTGGTGAAAATAGATCAACTGTTGGAGCAATTGTTAGAA